TCTTAGCCCCAGTGAAGTTTGTTTATCTTACTTATTTAATCTATTTTTTCTCCAATTGATTTTCTGAACTTTGTCTGAATTTTCTTGCTTTATTATTATTACTGACATTCAACCTAGGTCAGGGGTAAAGAGTTTTTATTATTGTTATTTCATCATTCATATTATTGCTAAGATACACAAATTTTGTTGTGAATAGTGCTAATGGGAAGTGAGGGGCAGTGGATGGTGTTATTCCTCTTGTTAAAGAGTACATGCTTCTCTTTTGTGCAACTAAGACCTCCATTACCCCACATCCTTTGTAGGTATTCCAGACATACTAAAGCTGGTCTTGAAATGCTTCTGCATTACTGATAGTACTGAATGGTTAGTTTGGGTTGTAATTTGCTATAATCAGTGTTCTGTTTTTTACAGATCCAAAGAGATTTTTAATTATGAAATACAAGGTTATACATGGACTCATCTCTCAAAGGAATGTTAAACCTCCCTAACTTATTTAAATTCCCTTAGAAGCTATTAAACTTATGAATAGGATTAGGCAGTAGCTCTTCTATTGCCAGCATATATTACAAACTTTTTTTATTGCTTTCTCCTGAAAGGTAATCCTCTTTTTTAGCTGCATCTTTCCAGAAAGGTGAAAGGCTCTCTTTTCCTCACCGTTTTCTGTTAGGTTTACAAAATGCTAAAGTGGAAGTCTACCTGCACTCATCACTGTTGCCAGTCCAAGCTGTGTGATAATTTCCCTATTTCCTTTCCAGCTTGAACTGCACAATGCTTTTCTTGTAAGCATTTATGTGTAACTGACTGTTAGACTCCTGAACTCAGTTCAGACACCTGTTTTCTTACCTTGTGAAAGGATGTGGTTGGAATGTGAATACTATGCTTAGCCCGAGGGTGATCTTGCTTTCTTCACCATAACATTGTGTTGGATTCCTGAGTTTAACCAGGTGCCAGCATCTAAGAGGGAGCCATTCTTGCTTGCCATTCATGATTTATTGCAATCAAGCTAGAGCATTCACATTAAAAAAAAACAAAAACAAAAACAAAAACTAAAAACATCCTCTGAGAGCTTGTTGTTCTTCCTTGCTGATGAGTGCTTATTTATACTGATGATTTTCTCCCTTCTTCCTCAGTCACTTGCTTTTTCCTTTAGAAGCTACGCGTAACATCCACCGCTCCTTCAATTCCTTTCTATCATGTCTCAGGCAGTCCCAGCTTCAGCCCAATAGGTGTGCAGGACTGCTCAGCTCTGCTTAAGGGTAATAGGCACAAGAAACATTGAACCTTTTGAGAAGGAGATGGTTCTGTAAAACCCTTCAGCTCTGCTGGCAAAGAAGCATTCCCCGTGTTAGATTTTAAAAGGGAATGTGTCCTCAGAAACAGCTGGTTGTCATGTATGTTACCATTAAAATCTTCCATGGGGATCTACAGTTCTTTTTAATTGAAGATATGTAGCTAGCAGACATGGCCATCAGCAGTCATCCACTAGAAAGACATGCCTCCATGCCTCCAAAAACTGCAGTCAATTTTACTGCAGTTGGAGAAGTCTTGCTGTGATAGTTTGAGACAAACAGCTAAGAACTGCCACCTCTCTGGCAGATGCAGTTGAGGTAATACATGTCCAGCTGCTGTAATTTAGATCCTTCAGTTGCTGCACTGACCACAAACACAGGTGACAAAGAGCTAAAGCTGCTGGAGGCAACTAAGACATTGATGTAATCTTGTATACTGTGCAAGAGACTGGTGATAATTTTGAGAGAAGGAGCCCATATGTCATCAACAACTACAGCTAGAGCCTCAGAAACCACCACTTGATTTATAATTAGGACCTACCAAAATGGGAGTTAGAGGTCAGTACAGCATCCATCTAAGTCACTGCTCTCATTTTTATCTTGTGCTATTATGATTTTATGGGTTAATATATGTGAAATGCTGAATAAAACGTGAATGTAGACTGCTAAAATTTTGCATTCCTCTTACACTTTATTGGATGTCTTGGTATATTATAATATTCTTTTCTTATGCTTCTGTAGTACCATTTTCTGTTACCTGACATTTTTTCAGTTCACATGCATATAGAAATATATATGTATATAAAGGCAGATGCAGAGAGCAGTAGATGAAAGCATCAGAGTAATAGACAGAACACTCTTAATTCCTTTTGCCTGGTGAAGATTATATAAAACTGCTTTTCACGACCGATGGAGAAGTGATTAGCAGCAAAGTACAGTGCAGTGGGAGGTCACAGAGGTTGAATCCCCTCCCAGGGATCACGCCATCTTGGTGTAAGTCTAAATGAGTTGGGCACTAATGCTACAAAATCTCTCTGCTGGCCACCTGTTTGCAAAAGGGTAAAAACTGTTACTTGTCTGAGATTGGGTTGCACTTCAAAGGAGGAGTAAAATAAATACTCAAGTAGAAGTAAGACAATGAAATTTATTTGCCTGAAATTCCACTTTACAATATGTTTTGGTTATGAAAACACAAAGACTGTAGTGGGAATTGGTGAAAGGAAAGGAAAGGAAAGGAAAGGAAAGGAAAGGAAAGGAAAGGAAAGGAAAGGAAAGGAAAGGAAGAAAGGAAAGGAAAGGAAAGGAAAGGAAAGGAAAGGAAAGGAAAGGAAAGGAAAGGAAAGGCAACAAACCAAGACACTAAACACTTGCACACCTGTAGAAGTTAAATAATGAATAGGAAAGAAACTCTTACAGAAGACTCTGAAATCATGCAGTATCAAATGTCATAGCACCTACTTTGGCTTGGCTCCCAGTGAAATCCTTTACAGTTTGGCTTACATCAGAAACTCAACACCAGCCTGAATTCCTTGAAGTGATTCTGCTGTGGTCCCTCAAAGTGAGATTAAAAGTAAAAATGTGTACTCAAGGAAAATAACCAAGAATCCCACAACAGTTTCCAGAAATACCTAGGAGATTTAGAGGTATAAATTCCATGCATCTTTAATCTCTTGTTTGCAGTCCACTTGGCAGTAAATGCAGCTAAGATGTTTCCCCTGCCCTGCTATAAGTCAATATTCCATGAACTAAAGCAATGGCTGCCCTCTGAAAGAAATCTTGCTCCTGAATTCTACCTCCCATTTGTGGCGTGATGCCCTTAGGCTAAAGCTGACCTTCATTGGTCCCTTTTGGGACTTGATCTACCTTGTTAAGACAGCATCAAGTGGATTAGGGCCTTTTTAGGTAGTTTTGAGATGTTCTAGTAAGTCAGATTTATTCATGGATTGAGTTGGACCAGGCCTGGACCAGGTTACCTCCAGAGATCCCTTCCAACTCAGCCATGTTCTGAGGGACAGGGGCATTTGATGCAAGTGGTGTGCTTGGGCTCAAGGATGGCAGACAAGGGGGTAGAGATGGGGAAGCGTTGGAGAAGGACTTTCCTTTCAGCAGCAGTGAAGTCTTATGTGGGCTTCTCCTTTTTCTCGAAGTGGTGCTACATGCAAATGTATATCTTCTCACTTTCTAATTATTCCACTTCATTGCCTTTTTTTTTTTTTTTTTTCTTTTTTGTATAAATGTCAGCTTAGAGTGGAGGCTCTTCACAGCACAGATCTTGTTATTCAGTCTGTCTGTAAACTGCCTACTATAGTGCTGAGGCTACAGAACTATTTACGAACAGCAATAATATACCTGTCACATGCTCCAGTAAGTGTTCACTTTACCTCCTGCCACAATTTGCAATGTTTCTTGGGTGTGGTTCAAACCTGCTTTCTTTGGCCAGCAACTGCACTTTGAAATAGTTGATATTCTGATATATTATTTTAAGGCTCATTTTTTTAGTAATTATTAAATATCTCCTCATATCTTCTACATCTCAGCACTCAAAGAGAATGATTTGATCTCTAAGCCTTTTTCAGTTTGCAGTGGTTGGCAGAAAGCTGACCTCTATAAGACTGACTGTGTTCTCTAGGGTATATGAATTCATTGAATTTCAAAGGGTTTTTGTTCACTTCCTTTTCCTCTCTCACCTTCAAAACCACACGGTCACTGTTTTACGATAAATGCTTTGAGATAGATAAGGTGACATGCTTCACTGTCAGGGTTGGTCATCTGGACCAAAAAACCCTTGGTTTACCCTCCATTAGATCCAGCACTTGTAAAGTACCTGAGAAAAAGGCATATTACATAATACGTGGTATACTTTTAAGATGTTATCCCTGGTGTGCCCTAGAAACTTTGATGAATTTGTGCGGCTGTGAGGCTCTTTTCTGTTTTTATATTTATGAGTAGTGAAATTCTTAGTTTTCTGACTTCAGTCATTTAGTAAAGAGAGGTCAGATTGTATTTTCCTACCTTGTACTGAGAGAGACTAGGTTCAGAATTAACAAGTATCCTAAAAACCTGCCTGTCTGGTACTTGCCCAGTATCCCTTTGAGGCCTGAAATATATTGTAGTGGTGGTACGTGCCTCCCCTTCCTCCCTCCCTTCAAGAACTGATAAAGAGGAGAGAAGGAAGGATGAAGTAATGTTTTTTCCTTGTCCATAAAGAATAAGGACTGTGGGGTATCAATAGGAACATCAGTTGAGGTTGGGATCCCATCTGTGAAACACATCCCATTGTGCATTTATTGTATAAATGTACGTTTCCTACATTCCTTGTGGTAAGAGCAAAGCAACAATAATCCAGCAAAGTCTTCCCTGCAGATGAGATTAGTGGTGACGTGTTGCTGTATCTTTTTTTCTCTAGGCCTCGTTTACTTCTTTTGTTGGTGCTTGTATCCTAAAATAAGAGCCAAAATGATTTTAACTGCTTGTTCTTGTACAGAGAAAGAACAAGAGAAATACACCCCTGGAGTGTGAATTGGTACAAGGAAGATAACTTGTGACTTAAGTCAAAGTGTACTTATAATGTAGCACAAAATGCTTTTTTATGTATGCACACAACTATTCTTTCACCTTATATTTGTATAAGGGTACTGTCTACAGAGAATTAGGAAAACATTAAAAGCTGAGTAGCAGAATAGTAGGAAGCTCTCAATTCTTTCTTTTCAGCTGTATGTAGGACTGCATGAATGCCCATGTTTGAAAACTTTATGACAGTAACAAAATGGATCCAGTATGTACAACTGAATGCAGGTAATATTGAAAATGTAGATTCTTTCATGGAAAATGTCGTTTATGTACTCACTAATGTTGTACTTCTCATTAGCATGACTTTTGGTACAGCTATTCCACACAAAGCATGTAACTGGGGAGCTGAAATCTGTGTGAGAGTCAGAAAGGAAAGGAGATATGGAGCCAGTAGATGCTCTTAAGTATTGACTGAGCCAGGATTCCTCAGTGAATGAGTAGTAAATATGTTCCTTGCAGGCATGCCTGCCTGAGTGCTTGTACAGAAGAGAGATCTCATAGAGATATTAGATATTAGAGATATTATTACTCATATCTCTAATGAGATATGAGTGAGATGCAAATAGCCAGATTACCTGAGATAAAGTCTGGCAGTGAAGAGGCAGAGAGAGCACAGCTCATAACGATGCTCCCAAAACATCCTGTGCAAGTATTTATACTGCCTAAAGATGGATGTATACGTACTGGAGAAGTGACAGTTCTATCTACAGGATGGCAATCCATAGATTTTTTTCACGTTGAAGGAGTGGAGGCCTGCAGTAGCAGCAATGTGGGATTCTAAATAGGAGTTATGGGAATGTGGGGGATGCAGGATAAAGCTCTTGGTGCTGAATCTTCACTCAAGTTATTGTCTGAAAAAACTGGTTCAAAAATTAGCTTGGATATACCTATCCCAGACTGCAGTCAATGACAACTGAAACTGGATGACTACTGAACTGTCCACGATATGCAGACAGTAGTATGGTCATCCATTAAGGAGCACAAATCAGACTCAAATGTAAAAATCAGGTTTAAGCAAGAGAAGACCAGTAATGGGGATTTACTAAAAGAAAAAGATATCTACAAAATGGAAAAAAAAAAAAAAAAAAAGTAAAAAAGAAAAAAAGAAAAGAAAAGTGTAGAAGAGCTATAATAGCTCATACATGGAACAAGAAAAGAGCTATGCATCAGAATGTGCTAGTTGCCAGCCGGTAATTGTCTCCTGCCATAAATTAATGCATGTACAATGAGGGAGACTTGAACGTTTAGTAGTTTGTAAAGGGCTTAGTTCTTTTCCAATGAATAATGTGTATTGTTAATTTTATCTAGAAAAGTCAGATAGTAACAGGATATAAAGCATCTCAGAGAATTTCCTAAAAAGGTCTGTAAAAGGATCTTCAGGAGGTATGCAGCCTTGTCAGAAATGACATCAGAACTCTGACGAATTAACAATGTCATTTACTCTGACAGAGAGACTCTTGTGAATGGCATTCTGAAGAATGATAAGTATGCCAGATGTAGGTCAGACTGACAAATAAATAGCCTGACTTACCTACAGGCCTTGATTTGCTGGCATTTTGAGATTCTAGGCCAGCTTTGTACCAGATCTGCTCATCCCATATCATATTTAATCCATACATTTTTTTGCAGCCTGTCAAAGATTTATTTGATATACTGTGCATATAAAAACTAATATTCCAGTACTGAATTTTTTTAGTAGCTAGTTTAACTTGATTCACTGTGACATCCCTGTGTGTAATGACATCTCAGCTACCAGTTTCGCATCATTAATTATGATATTGCTCTGTACTGTGACAACAGGCCTAAATTAAAACTTATTTTAAAATGTATAAACTGACATTTCTCAGGGTCATTTATTTCATGAAGTAATGGGTATTGTAGACATGAATGAAATATCACTTGAACTTCTATGTTCTGCTAACAGTCTTTTTGGAAGACTGTTATTGGATAAATAGAAATAAGATAGATGTGAGGCTCCATTTTTTTTTTCTGTCCATCCCACGCCAACATTTGAATAGCTTCATAGCCTGTGAGAAAAAGGTTTTATTTTAACTTTCATTGAAGAATTCTACTGAATTTGACCTTATATCATCCACTTAAGCAGATGGCTTAAGTGTGTTCCAAAAGTCTTTCCACGGGAATTTAAGGATACACAGGCTTAGGAATTTAATCTAAATTGTTCAGGATTAACTACAAAAAATAATCACGATCATTTTATTCAGTGAATAATGGATTTCCTTAATCTGATTTGAAAACTTGATGCAACAGCAATGCTTTCTGTATTTTCACATGTGGCAAAAATGGGCTGTTAGGAAAAGTGTTCTGATTGTATAATTTCACCTTTGATATCTTGTTTTCCCAGCTTTCCATATTATTTAAGTTGTACATTTATTTAAGAAACTACAATTGCTCCCTGCTTTTCCCCTTATAGTGCAAGTATCAAATAAAGTCTTGCTCCTTTTTTTCAATGGGGCATGCATTTGATTTGTTAACAGATGGTCTTTTTTCCTCTACAGTGCTAATCAAACTTGGATACATTTGGATTTGCATGAGGGAAAAGCTGACAAGGCTGACTGAGCACATCTGCTTAGCTGTTTCTTGCAGTTCCTGAGAAATGACTCAATATTCAGTGAAGGCCAAAATGCTGGAATTGGAGAGTCAATATGGCAGCAAAAACTTTAGCTTCTCTAATCAACTTGAATAGAGAGGATGCTCATGCTTCTCAAAAAAGCATTCAGGTTGAGGGCACCAGCTTCTTATAACTGTTGAACTGCAGCATTACCACTTAGCAGCACCTGAGCAACATCCTGTCTGTGAGAAGAAAAGGCAACCAAGGCATTTGACTTCAGCTATGTGGAGGCTTTTCCAAAGTATGTTATGTTACCAGCAAGGCATTCTTAAGCATTATTTTGCAAGCTTTGCATATCTCTTCAAACTAATTTTTGAGACACACGCACGTTCTAAGTGTGCAGAGCTTTCAGAACTGAGGGTCAAATCCAACTCTTGATGCAGAAAGAGTGGTAGAAATGCTGCTGCTGTAGTCTTCCCATGTGAATAAATGGGGTTTCATTTGTTTTGTTTGCTTGTAACTTTTTTTTTTGTTAGTTTTGGTTTTTTTTGTTTTAAACTCCTCCTGAAAAGGAAAAAGAAAATATCTCAGTTTTCTACCGGACTTTCCTTTACTCTCTTTTGCTGTGATTTCATTCTAGTATTGTACTTCCTAGTTATTCAAACTGAAGAAAAATGTTCTCTTATCCTTAAACATTTTTCCTTTCTACCCAGTGCATCAACATGTAAGAACTGTTTATAGAGATTTCGTTCTCCATTTGTGCAAGCAGAAATTTGGGCTCTGCTGTTGTAAAAGGGAATGAATAATGTCTATTGGCCACGTTCTTACCTAGAAATACCTGATACAAATGCACACCCTTTCACAGGGGAAGGTCAGTTGTGATAGTGAAGTTCAGTTCAGGTTAGCATTGAAAAATAATTTGAGAACACAATGCTGAAAACTATTCCCTGAGTCCCTGCAGGGCATCCATCATCTGGGGCCTCCTTTGTAGATCTTTTCTGACTGATCCAGAAAAGAGGCTTGCAGGAAGACACATGTTAATAAATAATACTTATTCTTTTGTCAGCTGAAGACTCTCATATGACTTCAAGGGATATTTCTGGCTCATTTTCATCTCTAGAGTCTGTCCTAGAAGTGAGTAGCTCTACATACAAAGTTGCTTATGACGTGGCAATGTTTTAATACTCTAATGGTTACTGAAAATGTGTGAGGAATCTGAATAAAGAAGCAAAATGATATAAGAGTTGAGGAGATAAGAAAAGACACCATCTGAGTATATAGTGAATGTAGAATCTCTCCACTAAAAGGAGCTCAGAGTCATTCATATGCTTTGGAATATGCTCATCCTTTATAAATATTTCAGTCTGTTCAAACTGACTTCTCTAAATTAGCAGTTCAAAGATAAATCTATAGGGGCAACTCCAGGTAATCAATTTTTTTGTTGATCACAGAAGGAAACCTGTTAATACTGGAGTATATTGTTCACAGGATTTAGGGAAGCAGGATTTGACAGGTTTATTTGACGCTCTTTATTTCTGCTTTATTTATGTTCCCAATATATAGATAGCTCTGATCAAATGCACTAAAAATATATTTTTTTTCTTTTTGCAGAACTGGAAAAATTTCACACCAATGTAATGTGAAGCACTCTTGCAATAACAATATTAAGTAAGGATGGTAAAAGGGTTTGGTGCTTCTTTGTATACCTATGGAAACCAAATTTTTCAAATCAACAGTTTTACCTGAAGTCTGTAGAATACAAGAGAAGGAAAGGTTTAACTTTTGAGACAAATTTTATTTTTCTTAGTCAACTAGATGTTATAGAAAAATATGAAGAATATTTACTTGGGCTGCAGTAAAAAAAATAAATAAATAAAAATCAATGTTTGCAGGACTCAATAACTGCCATTTGTGTAGGCAACTTAGCTTTTTAGCTTGAGAAAATATCTCAGGGACGCTGTGCTATTGGTATTTTTTGAAAGAAGTGTAGAAATTAAAAGTGTATTTTTCTGATGATAATGCAGACCTAAACACTTCGTCCTTCCTGAAGCACGTAAGATGGTAGAATGGTCTTCAGTTCTTATTTCTGATATGGGATGATGGATCTCCTAATGCATGTGCTTTGGTTGTCCTTTGTCCTTGAAAATAAGTAATATCCACAATATTAACAGTAAAGTGGTAGTTTTTTAGTTTTTTTTCATTTGTATGTTATTAATGCCAGTGCAGCATTCATTAATACAATCACTATGTGGGTGGTTTTAGTGCACTTTTATTCATCACAGGTAAGTCTTGCCAGAGTTTCTACATTTATCGCTTCAGGAAGATGGCTATATTTATAATCAATCTTCACAAGTGAAAATATATCATGGTAACTTTTTAGTAAGTTATTTTCTTTCCCTTTCAATATCAGGTCCTCCTAATATTCTCAAATTCATTTACTATAGCATGTTCTTTGTTTGGTAGAGATGAATTCTGCAACAACTTGAGAGCAACAACTTGAGATAAACATGATGTTCTTCACTTCTTAGTACACAGTCATATGAGAGTCTTCAGCTGACACAATAATAAATTTTGATTGGACTAGTACAGTTTATCTAATATTCCAGTGGTTACTTTTTAATTGAAGCGGTATGGAGAAAATCAGTTAAACTGAGAAACCGTTACTGTTTCAGGCAATATTTTTTCCTTACAGCATAGTAGGAGCATTACTTAAGCTGGCATTTTTTGAAGATAGTATACTTTAATCCCTCATCACTGATCAGAGATTCAGGAACTCTGTATCTGCAAAGAAGAATAATCCTTTCTATACAGTGCATTTGTGATGTTTCTCTTTTATCACTTACGACATATCACTTTATGCTTCCCTCATATTATGTCATGATAAAATCCAGTTTTCCTTATAGTAATTGTATGCATTGCTTAATCAAAAGCTACAATATTTGAGTTAGGGAATGGCTAAGTAATTTTGGTTTCTTTGTTAATGTGAAATATAAAAGCTGAAGTAAAGGAGAGAGGTGAAGCAGCTGTGTTATCTAGAACTTAACACAAACCAGCATTCCCTTGCTGCTTTAATTTAAGCATTTCATCATTTGTCCGTTTTATGGTGTCACATCATTTTTCAATGATGAACTGTTTTTTTTTATATAAGTCATTATATCTATTGTCAGATGTGAGCTAATTCTATGATACGTTTGTATCGTTCCTTCCTTATAAATGTTCAAACTGATCCATATTTCTACAGTAGAGGAAACAGGAAAGTTTCAAAAAAACGAAGTTTGAGCAAAGCAGACTTTTTCAGTTGAAATAAAGCAGCCAATGGAAAGATTTTTCATGTCACTGTAAAACAGAGCTATGCAGGAAGAGTCCTTTAAATAATGCTAAACTGTTGTCATTATCTTCTCAGGGCATAATTTATGGGTATTTATGGTGACATTATGTGCATAAAAATTTATCTGATTTTTTCCTTGGTTGACTTCAGTTTTGGACCATAGTTTTGCATGTTGTATTGAAAACATGTACAAAGGAAGTATCTGTAATTGTTCTTTGCATATTCCTGTGTCAAACATCTGTTCTTGGTCTATTATAGACTTTATGGTTTGTTGGGGTTTTTTTTTTTTTGAGTGATGGAAAGTGTTCTGGAGGTGAAATAAGTTCTACATAGTCTCTGTATCAGTTCAATTCATGAGATTTTGGAAGACTGTCCTTGATGGCCCAGGTCATTTTATGTTCTTTTGCTTTGGAGCAATGGGCGTCATAACAAATAGAATGGCTATATATGGATAGTTCAGATGGGAATCTGCTACAGAAAATCTAGCAGATGTTTGTAAGGTCCCTCTATAGAGGGATGAAATATTTGTAAAGTATATTCTTGAATGCTTATATTCAAATGATGTTGCTGGAAACTTTGCAGGTGCAAGGGATGCAGGTGGGCATCCCTGCTCCCTCTTATTTGCTGGCAAGACCCGGAAGATGGGAACAAAAGAGTTTCTGCTGAGATCCCAGAGTCAGAAGCTGTCACTCCAAGGAGAACTGACTCAACAATTTTGGATTTGAGCTGTCACTCCAAAGACAGCTGACTTGACCACTTTGGACTTATAAATAAGTTGGTACTACCATTAAAAAGGGGCCATCATTGCCGTGGTCACTGTTGTCATCAATAGAACAACAATGCCCGACAACCCACCACTACTGAAGATCAATGACTGAACTGTGAACCACGCTGGATCCATGGTGGTGACTATCTCCCTCTTGCTTCTTATAAAGACTCCTTGCTTCTTCTTTCCTATCTTTTCTATCACCCTCCTTCCCTTCCCCATTACCCTAATTGATAATAGTGTCCATTCTCCCCTTCCCCATCTCCCTGAATAAGATCTGTTATAAACAGGTTGGACCAACATTTGAACCATTGTTTCTTAATCTCACGCCGGTTATACATATATTAAAACAACCTTCTCTCCCTCCTATAAATTGGAGCAAGACAATCTCAAATGCGTAGATATGGCAAAAGTATTAGTCCAAACACAGTTCCAACTCATGCCTATTTTAAGAACATGTCACGTGCAAAACATCGGAGTGCTAAAATTCTGCAAGATCTAATGGAATACTGGAATTTTAAGTACTTCAGAGACATCCTGAGATAGGATGGTGTAGGGGAACTGTGAGGTCTTGGCTTGAATTGGTGACTGAGAACATGGTAAAAGGGTGTGACCAGTACATGGAGCACAAATTCTTTGCACCTATGCTTCCCACGTGTGGTGGACCGAGGGTGGAGCCATCCTGGCTTCATATAAGGGCCAGCCACTAAAGGGAGAGTATCTGTTGGGCCTAGACTGTTTCCTGAGAGGGAATGCTACACAGCTGGAGAGTCTCTTTGCCATTGGATAAGTCCAACTCTTCTTTCTTTGTATGACTATTGACTTATTTGTGAATTCTTTACCTGGTATTGCCAAGAACACATCTGAAAAAATTTTGCTTTTTTGTGAGCAGAACTGATAGAAAGAACCAGGTGAATCTTAAAAGAGCACCCAGTTGTAGCTTTTCAAATGTCACTGATCTAGTAATTTGAAGATTCATATATACTCCTACTTGGATGTGGAGAGAGTTTATCTTGTTTTATGAAGGTATCTCTAGATTATATTGTTTAGAACCCAGTTAATCTACACAGCAATTACTTTCTCTATACGAGTGTGCAGCAACCTTAAAAAGCATGGGAATAAATTATGTACACTAAACTTTGATAAAGACACATGAAATGATGGTATAAATGTAAAAAAGACACTAAAAATTCACTCTTCTAACTCTCTGTGAAGAAACTGTTTCCATTGCTTCCATTTTACAGATAAGGAGAACTGATATGAAGCCTCGTGCAGGAAATGCTAAAGAATGTACCTATTTTTAAGCAGTTTTCTGAGTTTATCTTTGAAGAGTTTAGACTGTAACTGACTGAAAATCTATAACGTTGTTTCCTGTTGAAGCAGATTTCTTGATCACGCTGTAATCACAGGACTTTCTTATCTTAGTAAGGAGCCTGATGTCTCTGTATCTGGAGATACTTAATGTACCCTGACTAATCCTATCATAGAATAGAAGCAGAACAACTGGCAGCACAGAGACAAACCAATGTGGGCTGCTGCATTGTGGAAAGATATTGCTGCCTGAATAGAGAACATAGCTGTAAAAGTACTTTGCATGGATACCCACATACTTTAGCAATGTGCCACTGAAGAACATTAAAACAACAAGCAGGTGGATTGGGCTGCTAGGATTGAAGTGGCTCAGACAGATCTGGACTGGCCACATAAGGGTAAATTATTTCTATCTCTGTGGGACTATGATACCTTTGGCTGTAAAGGAAAAGATGTAACATATAGGTTGATTCAGGATTGAGGGGTGGATTTTGACTATGGATGCATAACATTTTAGTTTTTATATTTTTGCTTAAATGATATATGTAAAAAAAGAGACAAACGTAAAACTAGTGGGATATTTGACCTTGCTTTTGTGAAATCACTGTGTCTGTTTTGATGGAAGGGATTGCAATTCTTAGTGAGTCTTCAAGGTGCTCATCAGAGGTTTTCAATGAAATTTTACTCGTGCTTGCTTCATCCGTGAAAGTAGTTGTTCACAAATGTCCAAACTGCTAAAAAGTGAAGATGGATAAGGTGTGACTATAAAATGAAAGACTTTTCTCTGGTAAGATAGTTCTTGTAGAAGTCTAGTAAGGTGCCATGACTAAATTTTAGAGTTGAGTATGTGATTGCAACTCTATAAGTTCCATGTGAAAAGTACCGGGTAATGTATTTGTCAAATGGAAATGGAGTCTCAAATATACAAAGAAAAATTTCTAGCAATCTTTAAAACACTGAGCTCTTGAGTTCACACTGCACCTGTACTGTGCTGTGCCAGGCTCTGCCCTTCATTGAACTGTAGAATGACTTGATTGGGAAGAGGCCTCATTAGATTCTTGTGTGCCCATAATTCACACCAGTCAAGATCCAGAAGAAAGGGTGGCATCCCTTTCTTCTGCTGTATCAACTTCACTACTCAGTTTTGTGTCATTAGCAAACTTGCTGAGGGTGCATTTGTTCCCATCTTCTATGTTACTGATAAGGTTGTCGAAGAGCAGTGGTCCCAAGACAGACCCCTGAGAGACACCACTATTCATGGCCTGCACCTGCATCCATAGACCACGACCCTCTGGCTGCTACTTTCCAAACAATTCCTTGTCCACCCTTCAAATCCACATATCTCCAATGTAGAGACCATATTAAAGGCCTTGCACAGGTCCAGTTAGATGACATCAATTGCCTTCCCTTTGTCCACTGATGCCGTCACTACATCATAGAAGGCCACTAGATGGTCAGGTATGACTTTCTCTTGGTGAAGCGATGCTGTCTGTCTCAAATCGCCTGCTTATCCCTTGTCAGTATGGACAGCTTCCCAAGAGATCTCGTCCAGCAATTCCTTAAACACCCTGAAGTTTGTTTTCCCAAAGTTCAGGATTCTTATTCCACTCTTTGACAGGCCCACGTTCCTTGAGGTCACAAACTCAACCAGGACGTGGTCACTGTAGTCCAGGCTGCCTGTGATGTCTTTAACTCTCTCTCTGCATTGGTGAGCACCAGGCCATCAATGCTTCACCTGTGGTCAGTCTGTCCAGTACCTAAACCAGAAACTTATAATTGGTGGACTCGAGTCTCCCGGATGGCTTGTAGCTTACTATGTTTCTCTAGCAGATATCCAGATCATTAAAATCCCAATCAAGGAGGTTTGTTTGGCTCTCTCCTGACAAATCTACTGCTTCATAAGGTGTCAGTGTTGGCTCAGACAGTGTTAATAGCACACTGATGTTTTGGTTGTTGCTGAGTGATTGGTGCACATCCTGGTCTTGGCTAGGTTTCTTGGTGAGGAGAGACCACCATTGTGATGACATGGTAGCAGGGAGTGGGCCAGAGTATGAGCTGTCCCAACCTGCATGCAGCCTGTGGACTGTACATGCTTGGACTAAATGGACAATTTAGAGCGATGGTCTGTAGGCTACAGGCATGATATCTGTGTGTATATCAAAAGTCAGGAAATATGAGGGTAATTAATGCAGATGTATGAGAAAGTACGAAATATGAGTATGATGTAAATTATGGAATAAGGGGTGGATATTATCATGATTTCAGTTGGGACAGAGTTGATTTTTTTTTCTTCAGAGTGTCTGATATGATACTGTATTTTTATTTTAGGAGAAAAACTATGTTCATAACACATGAATGTTTAAGTTGTTGCTGAGCAGTCAGCTTCTCATACTGTCCTGCCAGTGAGGGCGGCTGAGGTGGCACAAGGTGCTGGGAGGTTGATCTAAATGTCCAAAGTGATATTCCATACTATATAGCATTATGGGGAAAAAAAAAAAAAAAGCTTGAAAAACAGAGAAGAGTTGGCTGGGAAGGGGGGAGGAGAAGGAGGGGAAGAGGGTGTTGAGTGGTGTGAGTGAATGATTTTGTGGTGCTTAACTACCTGCTGGGTTAAACCACAACAAGGGACCCATCAGATCCCCTTGACATCACACTAAGGCACTGCCCCACTTCATCACAATGGCTGAGTGAGTCATGAACTCCACAGGGCAGCTGCATGAACATCATGAGAGAGTGTAGGTCAACAACTGCCATGCATTGATTAAGCCCAACTGGATCACCTGACTGATGCTGAAAACTGATGCAGATGAGAAGCTATTCTTCAAGTAGAGCTTCATGCTGGGTGTTAGTGGGGGACTGCTGCTCCAAGGTGAAAATAGACACCTCCCCCAAATACAGGGTCTACCTTAGCCATCATAGTAGTGTATCAGTGGTGGACCTCCCCATTTGTGCAGAAGCTTCTGCCCTGGGAGCTCTCCATCCTGCATGAGATCCATCGCCTCCAATATTGTGTACATTTTTGAGACCATCAAGTTGAGAACGGAAAGGTCTACGTTGTGATGGAGGTGTGGTAGCCACTGATCTGCTATAGCAGGTGCAACAGCTGGGCAATCTGCCATGTGTCACAGAGGCCTGCGACACTGGTGTGCAGGTTGTGAGGGCTGTGCACTACCTGCATGACTGCAATTTGGTGTGCTGGGAGGTCAAGTGTGAGAACATAGTGCTCAGTGCCAATGGCTGCCAGACCAAAACACCATCTCTGGTTACAGCAAGGTTAACTGCTACCCAGATCTGAGCACCCCCACCTGAAGCTCAATAATCTACAGTTTCCCAGAAGTGCTGCTGTGCAACCCCCATAATGCCAAGAAGTACAACATTTGAAACATGGAGGTGGTCCTTTTCATCACGATGACTGGCTACATGCAGAAATCTTGTAAACTGTTCTCAAATTCCTTTATCAAAATGGGAAGCGTTGACAGTATATTTTCTTCTGTTCACAGTACTGTTTGCTCAGTCTATCAAAATGCATAAAATTAGTTGCCATACTTTGAGCTTGCCATAATTTAAGTTTCATTTTGCATTCCATTATGGGTTTGAAACATAGCACAGATGAGTAGATTTTTCACCTTGAAGAGGCATGTTAACTCATGTAAATTAGTAGTCAAATCCACAAAAAATGCCAAATCTGTGAGTCATTTTTAATCTTAGAGTTCTGGTACAAATTTTCCTTTTCCATAAACGATTTAATTTCACAAATGATAAAATCTTTGTAGCATTTTACCCTAAATTACCTTCCTTCAGAAAATTAAATGATGACTTCATAGTTAATGTCCATACTTCTAAGGAACTCCCGGAATTGGCAATGATCCAATCCCTTTAACTTTATACAATTCATAGCTTTGATGATGATTTGCACAATATAATCCATTTTTAAAGCCTTTGGGCATAAATTTTAATGATGCATGATGCAGTGATATTTCATCAAATGTGATTTGCTGGTGGCAATTGCATCATCTTCCATTAATTTTATAAGTCCCTCTTGTTTACCAAACATGGCTGGGGTGCCATCAGTGGCTATACCAGATAGATTGACAAATGTTAAAGAATATCACTTCAGTGTAATTTTTACTGTATCATGCAAATCAGTGAATGTAGTAGTACTTTTTAATGGCACCAAAAAAGCCATTACATCAGCTTTTTGTTGAATGCTCTTCCTTCACCCCCAGTTTTTCGTTTTTGGTTCTGTTTTCTTTTGGGGTGACGTGAGGTAGGTTGAAATATTTGTATTGATGATTGCTGTTTGGCTGTTGTTGAGCAATTGGGTGTGCAGTTGGGGCCAACATAATAAACAGGCATTACTTTTGGAGCTGCCCTCATGAATTATATGCATAGTTAATGTATATAAGTAACAAAACATTTTAATTTTTAATATTAATGAAAACATAAAAAAGGAGAGCTACAAAACCATAACACGAGTGGGATATTTGAGCTTGTTTTGTGAAATGCTTCAGTCTTTTTTGATGGCAGTGGATTCAATTCTTAGTGAGGTCTTCAAGTGTTCATCAGTTTCATTTTTTCCATACTTCATCCTTGAAAACAGTTATACGTACTGCTAGAAAGCAATGATGTGAATAAAGCGTGACTGTGAAGTGAGGGATATTTCTCTTTGCTAAGATAGGGCTTATGAAACTCCAGTAGAGAGAGACATGATCATGTTTTTTTATTTTAACGTCTTACTGCAACTCAGTGTTCCAAGGCTCTCCTTGTCTTGGTCTCAGCCCAGTTAGGGTTAATAGCACACTGATGCTTGATTGTTGCTGAGCGATGGATTTGCTGGCTGCTGCCCTGATGGTACGGATCACAGGAGACGTGCAAGGCCACAAGCAGCCCACAGGCCAAGGGTTGGACGTGTTAACCTATCATGCATGCTATGACTTTGAAAGTCAGGAAAACAGTGCCTTATTTGGATGATAGCCGCAGCAGGTGCCTTTTATTTTTTTTCTGATATTAAATTGTAAGTTTTTCGGAAGGATAAAAATTACCCTTTGTGTCAGGGCTAGGCCATTGTTCTGCTCAATGAGCTTGTTTACACAGTAATGCATCACCTATGCTTGCAAAAAGATAAATGGCGTAAATTATCTATTGTATAACATATGCAGATTTATAACAAAATGTGTTCTATCTGTGATGAACATGCTGCAACTGAAACCACAATGATACATCTTTATGATCATGAATATGGAATCAGCAGCTGAAATGAGATTTCAGTACTGTTATGAATGTTTAAAAGCTTTGGTGCCACATAAAATTATATGTATCTTGGGATACTTATCTTTCATTCCAATGTGCAGCTTTGGAGTGCTGGTAGACAGGTGTCTGGGCTAGAAAGGTATCTATTATAGATGACTGGAAGCAGACTCTGGTATTGTCCAGATGCATAGTGTGGAATGACTTTCCTCTTAACTAGAAATTGTCAAGATTCTTGTCTTCCTAACTTCACAGCTCTTAAAGCAGCAGAGCTGGAATGCAAGCTAAGGCTCTCCTCTAGGCTTATGCACACAAGCCCACCATGACAACATTTCTATTTAGCAAGGAGGACCTGAAGCTTGAGTCAGATGTGTTAGAATTTTTAGTTGCTTATGCCCTGATTATATTCAGTTCATACTTCAGAGCGTTGAGCAGTTTTGAGCTTCTTAATGCAGTAAGCTGGACACACAAAATTATGTGCTGTTCCTAACCATGTGGGGAAAAATCTGGAAGAAATGATGTCCTTGTCTGCTCTGTCATAAATACAAGGATGGAATCCAGTCCTTCCCTGTGCTGTCTAATGCTGGACTTGCTGCCTTTACTTGCAAAATCTTTCCTTACTGTTTTCATTATGCAATTTTTAAGTCCTGTAGGAGAAAGCCTCCAACTTTTTGTGATAGGGATTTATTTCTAAAACTAAGCAGGAAAAACACTCCTTTTATCATGTATTTAAAGACTAGTAAGTAGAGTGGGATGGAATTTTCATCCAGTCAAGTATAGCAGAAAGCGTATCTGGGGGATGTGTTAGGTTGGTGTAGGAGAGGAATCCAGGAGCACTTCTGTATTCCAGATTTGGAGTTCGGTTCAACCACAGTAAACTTTAGAAGATCTGGAAGTATTCCAGCACGCATTTCTCTCAATCTACTGGCAGTACTTTCATCCTGTCTTTCAAGGGGATGTTCTTCATCCCTAAGTTGATTGGACCCTACACCTGTAGAGCAGTGTGAGGAGGAATGCTTGCAGGATCTAAAGTCTAAGCCATCAGGACAATTTCACTCATAGTAGTGTGTAACTGCTGATAATTTCCAAGGCCATTCTGCTTTTTATTTATCATTCTCACAAACCTTTCTCATGAAGATTTTCTCACTGTAACAAAAGCAACTTATTTGAGATTGAATAATTGGATTATCTCCCTGCAGCTGTCATAGCCATTGGAGCACATCTTCTGAAAGGAGCAATGGCAGTGTAATTCTTATGGCAGTTTTCTTTGATGATTCCACTTCCTTGTCCCGTGGAGTGAGTTAGTGTGTTCTACACTTGGCTGCATGTGTGAAGGCCTTTTAGTATCCACAGGTGTTACTTCAATTTAATTTGTCTATTTAAATATATAAAATATTTGTATGTATATTTTGTGCTGAAATTTCACTTGCTGTAATGGTTTTTAGCAGAATGATGGGAAAGTTCTTTCCGCTTTTTACCCCCCTCCTCCTTTAAAAAACAAAAAAGAAAAAAAAAATCCAGCCCTGTCTTTTAATCTCCTCTGTTGTTTAGAGCTTTGGTCACATGGGTATGATAGGGGTTGTGGTTTACATATATCTTGGGTCACAGAAGCTGCAGTATTTTTGGTTTGCTAGAGCTGGAATTCACAGTTTTCATTTTGTTTCACTCTCATTCAACTTTATTTTTTGAATTATGTCCTGATTTCCAATGGACAGTATTGGGATTTACTGGCCTGGCTTCTGTTCATAATAGTGGGAACTTCAAAACTCAACCTGAATCCATAAAAGGTTCTTTAGAAATTGCTTTTCTCATCACAGTCAATATGAAATACAATAATATCGCCTTCTAAAGATAAATTCTGTGATCTAGAGACAGGCTCATGGCAAAGAAATAACATTGTTTTATTTTCCTTTTCTTCTCCACTCTTCTTTCATAGATATTTGGTAGAAATCAGGTCTTTGGGAAAAAAAGGATAAATTTGAACTCTCAGGGTCAGTCATTTTGTTTCATCTTGGCTTCAGTGCACTTGACTGAACAACTAAAGGATGTAAAATCAAAACAAGAAATCCAGTATTACCTATATATGCCATTACATTTTTCATCACAGCAAAATCTGTCACTACTAGCAGGAGATGATGGGAAGATACACTGCTGCCACTGTTTTCTCCTCTTTGTTGTCAGTATCAGCTTTGTCAGAGTCACATAAACATCCTGATAGAAATTGCACAAAACATAATTTTCCAAAAAGAAAAAGAAAAAAAAAAAGCTTTACAATTGGATTTTTTTTATTTCCTTCAAAATGAGAAAGTCATGGAACCGTTCTTCATCCTCACATTAAATAATGATCTAATTAAAGAAGCTGCACATTGGCTATTTCATTGTGCATAGCACTCATATCCGCTCTAAAGATAAGAGATATCTGCCTTTATATTGAAAAAACATCAGAAGAAGAAAACTGCTAAAGCAGAACTTGTATAATTGTGAACCTTACGATGTAGAAACAGAAATGCAGTTTGGACTACACTTGTGTCTGGCCAAGGCTGAATTTTCCAGTGTTTTGTTTCCTCGAGAAACAAACTATAAACACTTCTGAAATTTATACTGTGCTGATATTAAGCTCATTTTGTGTCCATTTTCTTTTCTAACCAAGCTACTTTTAGTTATCCATGATCTAGGAAATTTCTTGGGTTTTCTAACTTAAGTTCCTGTAATCAGTGATTTTCTCCTTGATCACTGCACCTTAAAAACAGTACTTCTATTAGTGTTCTCCATTCATTTGATTCTTTTTGTTGTCTGTTTTTGTTTTATATGCAGTTCAGAGCCTTCGCACTTTTCACAGTAATGCACGTCTAAGGGATATGCTAACTGTTGGAATAATAACTGCCCAATCTTGTTTTCCCTGGCTGATGAGATATGAAAATAGCAGTTTTTCTCAACTACCCTAGAACTCTGTTTTAAGAAGGTGTGTTGTACGGAAGTTAACACAGTGCCAGCGGGTTTGCTCTGTGAAGGAAGAAGCAAAAGTAACATAAAATAACAGCAGGAGGAGACCTTCCTCTATGAGTTACACGAGTACATGTTACTCTTCCTAACTGGCTTAATTATGTCATATTCTTGAGCACTATTTATTACTATCTATTAAAAGGTTTTCCCTCCTTTTGATTCTTACATGCAGTGTCATTTAGGTAAGTCTACACCTGCATTTCCCTCCTTTAGCTTCCTCATTATGTTGAGTTCTAAATGCGTACAAATTACTGTCAATGCTGTTTCTTTCCATTTTTTCTTCTCCTTTCATGTTGCAGAC